CGAAGGGGTTGAAGTCGAAGGCCTAACTTTAGTGAGTGGAAGAGACATGCTTTATTTATGCATCTTTCTACACTTCATTCCTTGTCCTTAATGTGCGAAACGCGAGTGTGGATTAAAAAGAAATAATAATAAGAAAAAAAAAAAACAAAAAAAAAAACCTTACGATTCTGGCTCCTTATGCATTCTAGGGAGCGTCAGTCCGGTTCCTATTCCACCGGCAAGTCAAGAGAATAAAATGAGTACGCACACCAACTCCTCTCCCCATTCTGGTTGAGAGATCCAAGGGGGCGGCATTGATTTTGACGTGCCAACTTCTGTGCTTGAACGAGCTTCCGAAGGCTTAGGGTCTGGTACTCTTCTTGTCGGTCTCTAACGGGCTTTGGGCATCTCCTTTTTGGCAGACGGGAAATGCATGCAAACAATGGTCGTTGAGGCCCTCCCACTTCAAAGTACTTTTGTTTTCTGTTTTTCTTCAAAATCTATGAATTTACGTAGGAATTATGCGTGCCGTCGCAAGCATGCTAGGAATTTTGTTCGCAGTTGGGAGCTCCTGAGTTTGCAGGGGCACTTCCCACTAACGTGTCCTTTCTTGTTCATGAGCGTCCCCAAAATCGTCCCGAAAAACCCCGGGAATTTTCTATAGGAATAGGAATGGGTGTGGAAATTAGTGCCCCCGATCACGTGCGGGTATTGCTTTTGAATTTTTCAATCTTGAATTAGTCCTAGGAAAAGGTTTTGTTCGTAATCGGCCTCACACATTACTGTTTCGGCGCCTTTTCGTTTCTACATCGGCGCCATGCATGCAAGCTTTCCTCGCCTCCAGCTACGCCTCAGACTATCCTCACCGTTCTCCTTCGCGCCTTCTTCCTTTAACCCGTAATTGTTTCCCATCTCATTTTGTTTTGCCTTTGCGCTTTCTGAATCTTGGTTCTGCTCCGCACCACTTTTCGTCCCCTCTCCTTTCCAGCCTTCATCTCCGTACAGGAAGTCCCTACCGATCACCTCTCAGAGCCTTCCAATCGCCAGACGATGGCGTGTAAGGAGGATTTTAATCCCCTCGCACTATGATCTGATTAGTGCAAAGAACTCGCGCGAATCGATATGGCCTTCCCAAGGCGATTAATCCCTCTCCCCTCCTCTCTCTCTTCTACTATTTCTCCTTCGCTTTTCCTAGCTTCCGCCTCCCTCTCCGCAACTATAAAATCTGCAATTACGTTCGAAAAGCTCTCTCTCAACCCATCTGCCGGCTTCCGGGTAGTGACTAGATGATGTAACGATCGGCGAGTCAAAAAGTCATGACGAGTTGGTTGTAGTTTCATGAGGCTGTGGGGGGAGAAACTGGCCAGACATTGTCTGTGTCCAGGAAACACACCTGATGGACACCCCAGAGCACAACCGCACCCACAAGATGATCTGGCCATACCAAGCCTTCAGGGCCCATGCCCCGAAACCTGGAAGTGCAGGGGTAGCTATCTGGATCCCCCCGGAGTCCAGTGCAGACCCGCTCCATTGGGTGATAGACCAAGAGGAAGGCATGTGGGTGTCTATCCTGGTCACACTGGAAATCGAAATCGTATGCATAGTGTGTATCTACGCCCCCAACATGGCAAGGGAGAGAAGAATCTTCTTCGAGAACATCAAAGCACAGATACCGGAAGGAATCCCGGTCATTATTGCAGGGGACTACAATGCAGCCCCGGATCGATGGATGGATAGATGGCGGATCCCCTCCCTTGCCCAGGTGTATGTGGAGGAGGATGAGCAGATGATAAACGACTTATGTCTCTCCCTGAAAATCTTCGACTCCTTCCGGAAACTGAACCCGGACACAAGATTCTACTCATGTCAACGGAAGACCGGTACAGAAAGTCAGACAAAATCCAGGATTGATCTAATTCTCATCTCGGAGGACATGGGGGAATCGCTGCTTTTAGCAACGATCTTGCCTGCAAGTCCATACCCGGGCCTAAACCACAAAATGTGCATGGTCACTCTATCCTTTCGAAAGAAACCATACTGGGGACCGGGCTTCTACAAGCTCAACACTTGCATCTTGAAACAAAAAACCTTTCATAGCTACATCGCGGACTGCTGGAAATACTGGCACATGCAAAAACAACATTTCCAACAGGCAATAGATTGGTTTAACAACGGGCTGTTCTATCTGGGTAAAAAAAGTCAAGAATACTCTAAACTATTGGCAGCCAAGAAACATCAACAGGAGATGGAACTACACCAGCAGCTGCAACAACTTCAGCACCAGGACCAGCCTAACGACAACCAAATTTTGCAAGCAGAAGAATACTCAGAGATTCAAACGCTCAAAAACCGGCAACGCTGGGACGGAATACGAATAAGAGGACGACTGACACGATACCAAACAGAAGGAACAATGGATAGGAATTTTTTTAGCATGGCCAGAGTGCGCTCACACAGAACCACCATTGAAGCATTATACGATCCACAAACCGGACACCAAGATATTGTCACCTCTAACCCCCACTGCACACAAATAGCACGATCATTCTTCCAAGATTTGTTCACCTCAAGGTGCGTCCGGCAAGAAAGAAACGCCAGGGAGAAAGATATTGCAGATTTCTTGACCCCACTAGAGAAGACCCTGACAGGCCAGCAAAAAATAGACCTGGACCGTCCCCTGTCCAAGGAGGAGATATGGACGGCGATGATGCAGATGGAAGAAGAGAAGACGTCGGGCATCGACGGGTTCCCTAAGGAATTCTGGGAAACCTTCTGGACGCAGCTAGCCCTCGATCTCATGGAGTTCTATCAGCAGGTGTGGGAAACAGGGACAATGGGGGAGTTGGTGGGTCAGGGTGTTCTTACTTTGTTACACAAAAAGGGGGATAAGATGGACATCAGAAACTACAGGCCAATAACCTTGCTCACAGTCGTCTATAAAATGTTAGCAAAGGCCCTGGCAAACCGACAGCTCCCGGTTCTGGAAGATATTATCCATCCGATGCAAACCGGGGTCATCAAAGGCCGCAGGTTCCAGGATAACATACTATTAGTTAATGAACTGCTTAAGCTGACAAGACAGGACAAACAAAACGCTGCGGTGGTTTTCATAGATTTTGAAAAAGCTTACGACCATGTGGACTGGCTATTCCTAGACAAATGTATGGAAAGAATGAACATAGGGTCAGTCTTTCGCCGCTGGACTGCGGTGCTGCACCATAACGCAACCACGTGCGTCCAAGTCAATGGAAGGATAGCACCACCCTTCCCATTGCGGCGGTCGGTCCGTCAGGGGGACCCTCTGGCACCCTTCCTGTTCATAATAGTGATGGAGGCATTGGCAACAAATCTTCGAACTAACAAAGACCTGAAAAAATTGCAGATCTCTTCCATCCCGGAAGAAGCAATCCCGATCTACTCAATGTTCGTGGACGATCTGACACTCATGGTCGACGCAGACGCAACAAACATGGAAGACATCAGACAATTGCTCGAGCGATTTACAATAGTTTCAGACATGACGGTCAACTGGGGAAACAAGACCCTGGGCTGGTGGATCCACCACCAAGGGGTCCGCCCCCCCGAGTTTCCGTAGGTCAAGTGGTTGCCAGACACGGCCCCAGTCACGGTGCTGGGAATCATGCTAACGGCACTGGGCAGGCCCGCATCGAACGACGAATGGATTATGAAGCCCGCTCTAGAGAAACTAGCACACTGGAAAGACCGTCATACCTCTCTTATTGGTAGGGCATTGGCAATCAATAGCATGGTATTGGCGGCCCTTTGGTACAAATCGGCAATTTGGGCCCTTAGCAAGGAGTCCATTCGATCACTTAAGCGACAGGTAACAGCCCTGCTATGGAGAGGAAACGGAGAACTTCCAAATGTTATCAGCAGGGTAGCCTGGAGCTCGGTGATACAACCGAAAGACAAAGGAGGCCTAGGGATCTTGGACCCAGACACTCAGTTCAAGGCATTAACAATTCAATGGATCCGGAGACTGTTATTCACTCAACGCCTCCCATGGCATGCCCTTGCCCTGGAACAAATAGCTAGGCTTGCCCCGCAGGCACCGCAGGGAGTCAATCCACTAACCTGGTGGGAGGACCGTTACTGGACAATACCACGTTCCCGTCCGGATCTGGTCAGGGATGACTTCTGGACCCGAGTTCTACACGCCTGGCGACAACTCCCGCTGCCTGATAAACCCCCACCAACCAGATGGGAAGAGGTGGCACGCCAACCCCTTTTCGGGAATAGATGGATAACAGACCGGAACAGTAGAGTGTACTGCAGTTCAGGCACCCCATGGAACAACTGGGTAAAAAAAGGTATAACCACAATTAAAGATATATGGGACACACAGGTGGGAGACTGGAAAACCGCACAGCAACTCAGGGCCACACTCAAATATTATCATAAAGTGGAGGAACACATTGAAACCTTGATCTTTGTCATCCCCCTGGACTGGGTTCGTATCCTGCGCAGAGGACCGCGGCTCGCAGAAGGGGATTGGGTAACAGCCCCGGGGGATCAGGAGAGCATAGGCAACGTGGTGGAGGTGCGTGCAGACGAATCCCTGGTCGCTCTCTTCCACATTGGCAAGAACAACACGCTCACCCGGTACACCCCGGAAGTGATGAGATGGTGGAGGAACTCTGACCTGCACAGGATCCGGGTGATACAGGACAAAGAGGCGTGGATCGCATATCAGCCAGACACACCCGTGGCTGAACTCCCAAATGACCCCGAGGAGTGGCAGTGGTCTCCCCAGCGGAAACGCAGAAACGGGGACAACATGAAGTTGTACACCTTGACGGTGAAGGCCACCTACCGGCTACTGCGACCGAAAGTGAATATAAAAGAAAAAGTGAAGGATCGATGGAGGTCTCACCTGAATATAGGAATTGAAGCAATTCGTTCTATCCGATGGTTCTCCACCACAAAGTCCAGGCCGGCGAAGATGGCCTCGCTACAATGGCAGATAGAACACCGTTGCCTACCCACCAACGACTGGCTGATCGACCGCACATATCTGAAGCAGAAGGGACGGGCGCTGCCATGGTGTAAGTCGTGCCACACCGCCTTCCCCTCCCGCAAAATCCTGGAAACCATAGAGCACATATTCATGCAGTGTCCGGGAGCCGTGCGTACATGGCAGTGGTGGGATAGAATCTGGACACAGTTAGCCATCGGTTCCAAACTGGCCATGGGACTGGAGAGCCATATTGTGCGAAACATGGTCCTCTCCCACTGACAACGCTTTTGAAAACAACATGTTCAAGTTGGGAAGGAGAGCTGTCATATGGGCCCTCTGGAGAAAACATTGTATTCTAGTAATAGAGGGGGTCCGTATAGCCGGGGAGGAAGTAACAGACATGATAAAACAGTTCATTCAACAAGAACTCAGGGCACAGTGGCAAAAAATAAAAAACCAACTGGATTTGTTTCAGACACCCAAAGACATAAAACAAGCAATTCAGCAATTCTCGGCGGATTGGTTGGGAAGTGAGAAGGGGGGCTGGATCGCCTTCGTCCAATGGGATGGCGCACCTGCTCAGGAATGCCACCAAGACGAGCTCAGGAGAGATTAGTCTATCAGTTTCATAGACTGGACCACGGTGGGACAGGAGATCCCGCTGCGACTACCCACCGATTTCCCTGATCCGTTTCCGACCCACCAGCTGGCAATGGTCGATATGCAATGGTATGGCGCAGAGTGAGCGAGGTGGAGTCTGAGGCGGAAGTTTTGCAGCAGATATCTGGCACCTGGCACCTGGTCTAAGGCGCAGCGCTTAACCCTAGACAGCAGTAGATAGGGCGGGGGGGGGACTTGCTCAGTTGCCTTTGGTGTGTTAACAAAAAAAGAGGGCCTTTTGGGACCAGCAGGTGTTTTGCTGAATCTGGAAGTGGGGGAGCCAGGAAGAGATAGCAGTTATCTGGCGCCAGGATTAGGGTGAAGAGGCTCCCCCCTCCCAATCTCCTGCTCAGTCAATCCCATGGTTCTCAGGGTAATCAATGCTGGCAGGATCATACCGCACTTTTCTGAGGTGACTAAATGTGACTTGAACCTTGTCTATGTAAGGGACGCTGGACCCGGTTTCCAGCAGGTGCTGCTCCCCACCAGTAGATGGAGCCCCCCCCAGGTGCTAGCGGTGTCTGCTCTTACCAGCAACACTAGCAC